TGTGAAAAACTATCAGTTCTCTCATAGTCCTAAAAAAACAGAAAATAAATAAGATCTCTTTTCTTTCCAAATAATCAAAGCCATTTATTTATATCCATTCAATTTTGAGAAGTATCTATTTCCACAATTAGTAGACAAAAGTAACTAGCATTTGATTCAAGTTGATGCATTTCACTTGTAAGAAGTCAATAAATATTTGCCAAGTAACCTGACTAGACAAGTCTTTAAATATTTCTCTCTTATAGTATAAGAAAAATGAAAATCATTACAGAAATATATAAAATATAACATTTTTTTAAAAAAAGAGCCAGAGTAAATTCTCCCAAAAATAAAGGAAGCTTCAAGTGAAAAGTGAATTCAGTGTATACTCAATATCCACTACAGATTTAACACTTAATGAGATGGAGCAGGGATCTTCCTTAGGGGCCTGTTGGGCCTCACCCCCCACTCCCCTGACCTAAAAATAAAGGAAAAATAAAATTGCTTTAAGGAAAATTCCCAAGCACTTAGCTTAGGCCTGCAACCATCAGTTAGAAAAGAAAATGAATAACCTGCTATGCAAGAAGATTATAATAACTTAAACTATAGCCACCCAAGTAAGTCAGAGCCACAAGATGTTTGGTTCCCTATAGAAACTAAAGATAATACCTTAACATATGTCCTTAAGTTGTTTTTAGAAATCAGGACCCTTGCCCAATGGAAAATGGGTTTACTTTCATGTAGCCCTCAGACACACTAAAACCAGAAGTAGATCAGGAAGTCCTGGAAATTTCCCAGCCCTCAACTCACTTTGAAAACCCCCGCACCCCTGCCTTTAAAACTCCTTGCTCATTATCAGTTTTCAGCCTTTTGGTAAAGATCAAGCATAGTAAAAAGCCTTGCTCATAAGCCATCAGCGCATTTAGGTCTTAAGTGCTGGCTGCCCGTTCGCCTTGCTTGGCACCCTACAATAAATGCCTTTCTTTCTCTGTGAATTCTAGTGTCACTGTTTGGCTCTGCTACACCAGGCAAGTTTGTTGAGTAGCATTAACAATGAGTAACCTGAAGCAAATCTATATATTCATACTAATAAAGGCTACAGAACAATAGATGGTAAATTATTATTTCTTCTATTTGAATGCACATTATTCAAAAGTGCTTCATACATAGTGGCTTGATCTGGAAAGATCTGTAGTACATTTTAAATAAACTTGAACTTAAGAGTCAGAAATCTTAGGCTATGTCTTCAGCACAATATTTAATTTCTTTGTCATTGTTTCTTCATCTTTCAAATGAGGTTATTGTGAAAATTAAGTTAACTAAATGAAACTATCTATAAACTGCACAGAAATAAAACCATATAATGTTAGCACCTTATTTAATCTGTATAACAATTCTGTGAAGTATATAGACCTAGCCTTCCATCACTTGTCTGCCATTTACTGATTAGGTTCTTTGGGAAAGATGTCAATCTTAGCTGTAAAATGATGGTGATGATACTCATTTGGTGGCATTGCTATTAGGTTCAAATGTACAGGCAAGGACTTTCTTAATAGTAAACACTACACTAATTGGTCTTACCATTTTCCATTCACATATGAAATAGAAGTGATCAGAATTCTGTAGATTGTCTGAATCTTCTGCTGATTATCATGTGATATAAAGTTCAAGCTGAATGTTAGCTGAGCTATCAAAACACATACATGCTTACCACCCTATCCATCCACAAGCCTCATAGTTTGTCTTCATTATTTTGGTTAAATTGTTATGAATTCCTAGACAAAATTTCACTTGCCTAAATGCAAACAAAATTATATTATAAAAGTAATAAAATTTATTTGAGAAAGTTGGTACAAATACTCTCCTCACTGAGCACAGACCATAAAATCATAAAGTAAGCAGGCAAATAAACAGTATAGTAGTTGTAAACAATAGTTTTAACCAAAACACCAGAGTATTTGATTGAGATTTCATAAGCTGTAACTTTCATATACCCATTCTTCCCATACTATCCCCTTAAGGTCTCAGATGCCAAAAAAAAAGTGTAACCTCCTGTCGATAGGAACAACCCACTGCAGGGATGTTTCTCGTGGAAAAAGGAAGTTTCTATTGCATTGCTTTCAGACCTAACTGGTTACAAGAAAAACCAAAGGTCATTGCACAATGCTAAACTACTTTTTTCATATTTAAAATTTGAAAGCTGATCTTATAATCTATTATTTATTTATTTATTTATTTATTTATTTTATTAGAGATAGTGTCTAGCTCTTGGTTAGGCTGCTCTCAAACTACTAAGCTTGGCAATCCACCCACCTTGGCCTCCCTGAGAGCTAGAATTACAGGTGCGAGCTACCATGCCTGGCTACCATTTACTTTAAAATATAAATGAATCAGAAAACATACATACATTTCATAACGTGATTTTTCTTTGATCTATAAACATTTCCCAGTATGAAAATCATAAATAAATGATACTGTCAATATTTATACAAAAGATGGTACTCTTAGAGTTTTTATATGCCAGAAGGTCTGTATAAACTAGTCTACCAAGGACTTAAAGATAAAGGTGAATAAATTACATTGTTAAAAAATATTAAGTTTGAGGGAAGAAGCAAATAAGAACTCTATAGAAAACATATTTCAAAAGCACATAAAAACATATAAAAACAGAACTTGTACCTCAGATGATACTGGAGATTGTGGTGACATATTAGCATTATCACTGTCTTGCTAAAATATGAAAATAAAAAGATGAAAATATGAAATTATAATACAAATGATGATTTAAACACAACAAAAGGAAAATAAAAATTGTTTTGGTCAACTACTAAGGAAAAATCTGCACTATACCATCTAGGACCTTACCACTCAAAGTGTAGTCTATGAACCAGCAGCACAGGTGTCCTCTGGCAGTTTGTCAGAAATGTAGAAACTCAGGCCCCACCCAAGATCTATATTTCAGTAAGATCCAAGTGATTCTAAGTACAGTACTTTTACAATTTGAGAAGTACTGTCTATACATAATAGCAATGACCTGTTAACAATCAGAGACATGTAAATGAAGACGTGCAAAAGGTCCATCACTCCAAAGAAGAATTCACATCTGGAAGATTATATATAAAATATAGGCTTAAAATGATTACAAAATATTAATTTTATAAAATATGAAAAGGTTCATGATTTTTGAATGACAATTCTACTGCCAACCTAATATGAAACTTTTGACATTCACCCTTGAATATGCATACCACAAGAACATTTACTCATTAATTCACCAGACAATTACTGCCTTTGTCAGATACTCTGCTAGACACTGAGAATATTGAAATTTACTAAAATATCATCCATTCAAGGACCTTTTAGTCTATGAGAAAAATGGACTCATGTATGTAAGCAAGATAGAATTCTCAGAACAATACAGAGCTATGCATGGCATATTATGAAGCACAAATAATAGGTACTTGGGAGAATAAGTGTCTGAGTGTTTACCAGAAAAAGAAGAAATATTTCAAGATGAGAGAACAAGAACAAAGATAAAGAAGCAAAAAATGGAAGGATGAGCACAGAAAAACTTTGAGCACTTCTCTATTGCTGGAAGGTAAGATGAAAGAAGGACAAGTTGCAAGTTGAGGTTGATATGGTAAGCAGGGGCTTTATAAACAAGGATCTAGAATTTACCTTCTAGGTTATGAGGTGAACTTTAAGGTTTCTAAGCAAGAGAATGGCCTGACTATATGTTCTTTGAAATGATCATGGTGGGGGTGGGGGGCAGCACAAGATGGTGGATTAGAAACAGCTCCTTATTAGCCACTCAATGTGAGACAGGGGAACTAGAACTCCAGTCACCTCTAGCTGGGGGAACTTACACAGGGACATTACTCTGAGGGCACAGTGAAACAGTGGTGGACTCCAGGAGCAGAAGAGGTTTGGAACTGAGGAGAACCGGCACATGGGGCAAGTGCTCACTTACAGGCAGGGGCTGGCCAACTAGCCCTCATGCAGTCTGGGGAAGAGGAAAGGCTGTCCTATAGTTTATTGATTTTAGAGTAAACAGCTCTAGCAAGCAGTTTAAACTACTTAAACTAGTGAGGGGTTCAAAAATTGCTCAGTGGCCAAGACTGAATACCTGGAAGGGTAGATCTCCCATTGATGTGGCTGCTAAACAGGTGTGCCACTGTGGGAAGGCCACATCAGAAGAACAATTCGCAGAGTCCTAGTGCATGGTTGGCTCTGGTGCACCTGCTGAGCTCAGGCAATTATCCTTGGGGTGAGCTGAATAGACCCTGCATCCTCAGGGAAAACCCCGTGGTTGTCAGGGGGCACTGTTTAACGTGCCTCCTAAGGAAGGTGGCTGGAGCTTTAGGACCCCAATCACAAGAGGACTGAAAGCTGATGATGTGACCAGACCCTAATTGAGATCAAATAAGCCATAAAGATAGGACTCAAATGCCTCTGCAAATAGAAAATGGCTTCCACCTTCCATTTTATATACAGAAAAAGCAGCATTTGTGTTCTCCATCTCCTAACACCATACCGCCATTTGGTGTACAGGCAATATGCTGCAACATATATAAAAGTATATATATACACACACACATATCTTCCATTTTTTGCTCCTTTTCACAATTTTTTTCTTAGTTCTTTTTCCCTCTGTTTTGTTATTTTTGTTGCCTTTTTTCTTCTTTTTGTCTGGTTACATTTTTATTTTTCATTTTTTCTTTCTTAAATAGCAAGGGCGCCTCCATTTTTGTTATGGTTTTCAGCCCCTTTAATTGTTTCATCCTTTTTTACTCCTCTCCTTTTATCTCTCTTTTGGTAGAGACTTTTCTACTTTTCTTACCTTTCCCACATACATTTCCCAGTTACTTGGAAGGCTGAGGCAAAAGAATCACATGAGCCCAAGAGTTTGAGGTTGCTGTGAGCTATGGCGCTACAGCACTCTACTGAGGGCAACAAGGTAAGAGTCTGTCTTAAAAAAAAAAAAAAAAGAAAGAAAGAAAAGATAAACTAAATTGATAAACCTTTGGCCGGATTAACTAGAAACAAAAAAGTAAGATCTCTAATAACCTGAATCAGAAACGAAAAGGCAAACTATCAACAAATACCACAGAAACTCTATGCCCAGAAATTTGACAATGTGGTAGAAATGGACCAATACCAGGAATCACACCATCTCCCTAGACCATGAAGAAAGAGTTCTCTTGAACAGAACAATATCAAACACTGAGATTGAAAAAACAATAAAAAAAATCTTCCAACAAAAAGAAGTCCTGGGCTCGGCACCTGTGGCTCAAGTGGCTAAGGCGCCAGCCACATACACCTAAGGTGGTGGGTTTGGATCCAGCCTGGGCCTGCCAAATAACAATGACAGCTGCAACCAAAAAATAGCCAGGTGTTGCGGCGGGTGCCTGTGGTCCCAGCTACTTGGGAAGCAGAGGCAGGAGACTCGCTTGAGCCCAGGAGTTGGAGGTTGCTGTGAGCTGTGACGCCACAGCACTCTACCCAGGGCAACAGCTTGAGGCTCTGTCTCAAAACAAAACAAAACAAAACAAAAAAGTCCTGGAAGAGATGGCTTCACACCAGAATTCTATCAAACCTTCAAAGAGGAGCTTGTATCTATAATGCAGAAACTATTCCAAAACATTGAGAAGGAAGGCACCTTCCCCAGTGCTTTCTATGAAGCAAACATTACCCTGATACCAAAACCAGAAAAGACTCAACCAAAAAGGAGAACTACTTACCAATTTCACTAATGAATATCAATGCAAAAATACTTAAAATCAATAAAATCTTAGCCAATCGCTTTCAATTGCGTTCGCAGCCACCGCCTCTAGCTCTCCGAGCTCCAGCCAAAGAAGGCGGGTAAGTAAGGAGGTCTTTATACCATGGCTCATACAAAGCAGACTGCCCACAAATCCACCGGTGGTAAAGCACCCAGGAAGCAACGGGCTACAAAAGCCACTCCCAAGAGTGCGCCCTCTACTGGAGGGGTGAAGAAACCTCATCGCTACAGGTCTGGTACTGTGGTACTCCGTGAAATAAGACATTATCAGAAGTCCACTGAACTTCTGATTCGCAAACTTCCTTTCCAGCGTCTGATGCGAGAAATTGCTCAGGACTTTAAGACAGATCTGCGCTTCCAGAGCACAGCTATTGGTGCTTTGCAGGAGGCAAGTGAGGCCTATCTGATTGGCCTTTTTGAAGACACCAACCTGTGTGCTATCCATGCCAAATGTGTAACAATTATGCCAAAAGACATCCAGCTAGCACGCTGCATACATGGAGAATGTGCTTAAGAGTCTGCTATGATGGGAAAACATTTCATTATCAAAAAAAAAAAATTCTCTTCTTCCTGTTATTGGTAGTTCTGAACATTAGATTTTTTTTTCCCCATGGGGTCAAAAGATACTTAAGTATATGATTGCGACTGGAAAAATAGGGGACAGAAATCAGGTATTGGCCGTTTTTCCACTTTCATTTGTGTGTGAATTTTTAATATAAAATGCGGGGATGTGCAGCATTAAAGCGAGTCAAAATGTTTCAGTGAACAAGTTTCAGCAGTTCGACTTGATAACAATTACAAATAAACCTGTTAAATTTTTCTGGACAATGCCAGCATTTGGATTTTTTTTTAAAAGAAGTAAATTTCTTATTGACGGCAACTAAATGGTGTTTGTATCATTTGTATCATACAGTAGGTTCCATCCATTCACTACACTTTTCTAACTGAGTTGTCCTACATGCAAGTACATGTTTTTAATGTTGTCTATCTTCTGTGCTGTTCCTGTAAGTTTGCTATTAAAATACATTAAACTGTAAAAAAATAACTTAGCCAATAGATTACAGTTACACATTAAAAAAATTATGCATCATGATCAAGTAGTCTTCATCCTAGGGATGCAAGGCTGGTTTGACGTAAACAAATCCATAAATGTAATTTACCATATTAACAGAAGCAAAAACAAAGACCATATGATCCTCTCAATAGATGTAGAAAAAAGCATTTGACAAAATTCAGCATCCTTTTCTAATGAGAACATTAAGAATATAGGCATAGGTGGCACATTTCTTAAACTGATTGAAGCCATTTACAACAAACCCACAACTAACATCATACTGAATGGAGTAAAACTGAAAGCTTTTCCACTTAGAACAGGAACTAGATAAGGATGTCCTCTACTGTCCTGCTAGTAAACATAGTGCTAGAAGTTCTAGCCAATGCAGTCAGACAAGAGAAGGATATAAAGGGAATCCAAATGGGGGCAGAGTAGGTCAAACTCTCAATCTTTGTCAATGATATGATCTTATACTTAAGAAAACCCCACAGACTCAATCACAGGACTTCAGGAAGTAATCAAAAAATACAGTAACATCTCAGGGTATAAAATCAATGTTCACAAATCAGTAGTCTTTGTATACTCCAAGAACAGACAAGTTGAGAAGCTCATCAAAGACATAATCCCCTTCACAGCAGCTTCAAAGAAAATGAAATACCTAGGAATATACCTAACAAAAGAGGCAAAGAACCTCTACAAAGATAATTAGGAAACCCTAAGGAAAGAAATAGCAGAAAACATTAAAAAATGGAATAATAGGATGGATGGAGGGAGAGTAATTGGTGGGACCACACCTACGGTGCATCTTACAAAGGTACATGTGAAATTTACTAGGTATAGAATATAAATGTCTTAACACAATAACTAAGAAAATGCCGTGAAGGCTATGTTAAC